GGTTCGAGACCCCCCTCAGCCACCTACTGTCTGTGTGATAGTCACCACAGTCATCTGACTTCTCTGAGTTTTGGCTTACTCATCTGTAAAACGGGAACTGTGAGTCCTCAAATGGGCCACGGTAAAGAGCAATAACTTGCTTTAGAAATAACTTGCTTTAGCAATGGTCTGACGCTGAGCCTTCCCAAACTCATGCTGACCCCTTCTGGACAGACACCAGCTTGCATGTTCATCCACACCAGGCTGCCCTCCACTCCCACCTCAGCAGGACTGGGAACTGCAGCTGCTTTTGTTTCCTGGCGCTCCTATCCGTGGAAGCCCACAGTTGGCATCTCATCAACCCCAATGAGTGAGTGAATCAACATGAGAAAACTCAGCATAGGTTGGATGTTCTGCAGAAAACACGCCGAGAGGCCCCACAGACAGCACTTTGATTACCCCATGACGCACCACTGGCAAGCTTAAAATTCGCACCCAGCCTGGAAACTGAAAGCCTGCAGGGGACCCGCCTGCCTCCTAAGATGCACTGCTCCAACACGTCAGGTGGACATGGGAGTTCCACTAGGCGCCAAGCACTGGACTTTCTGAGCGCCTTTAAATCCCCCGATTCATTTCATTTTCACCATGTCCCTACAAGGTGGGTGAGATATATCTTTCCACTTCTCAGCCAAGGAAACGAGCTCGGCAAGGATAAGAAACAGACTCACAGGCCCTTGGTTACCGAGAGAAAAGGCAGGATTGGAACCTGGGTCTGTCCCGCTCCAAAGCTTAGGCCCTTCTCTCACTGCCGGCCCTTCCGGGAACTGCAATTCTTCAGATTTCCAGCAGCAGGCGCCGCAGGTTTGCCACCCACCGCAAAGGAGAGGTGATACGCTCGTCTGTTTCAAATGAGAGGTGATGGAACCAAAGCCTCCAAAGGCAGCTCTAAAGTCAGGAGTGACATCAGCGCGGATGGAATCCTGGGCAGAGCATGGAGGCATGGGGCCATCCACGTGAGGGGAGGCGGGCAAATTCAGGGCAGGGTCCACTTTATAGATGTTACCGCCACCCACGTGCACACACAGGGACACATGGGAGGCAGGGCCAGAAACCTTCCAAGTAGATGTAACGACCGTTCCTGAGCAGGCCGGAGACGGCCTTCCCCCTTCCCACATCCCTCTGCCAGCTCCTCACCAGTGGCAACCGCTACAGGCGTCTGATTAAAACAAGTCGGCCTGTCTTTGGTGGAAGTCAAGATTCATGGCCCTGGTGGCCGTGATGGTGGTCATAACTCACAGAGGTCTACTTCCCGGACCCACTGGGGAGGCTCCTGCTTCGGCCTTTGCAAAGCCAGATCTGAAAGGAACTGAGCCCTGTCTAGCTCCTTCCCGGGTTAGGCAGCGTGAAGGCAGGCGCCTTACAAACAGGGCAAGCGCCTCCCACCTCCTCCTAACACAGCTGACTTGCAGAGAAGAAAGACTCTCTTCCCACGGGTGGGGGGTGGGGGGGAGCGGTAGTCTGTTTAGGCCACTGTCCCCTTGGGTCCCAAAGCCCCATGTCTAGAAATCTGTTTCTATCTGCTATTAAACAACCAGAGTCTCAAAGGAAAAGAGTGAACTTGGGTGGAAAACTCTAGAAAAGCTAAGTCGCCAGGGAACTAGAGTGAAGAGGAACTTCCACCTCTCATGTGTTTCAAACCGGGTAAGTGTGGAGACCTTTCGGTGACCTGCGTGGCTGGACTAATTACCAATGTTATCTGGCGGATGACAGACATGCCCCGAACTTCCTCTGTTTGATAGGTTCTGCGGCAAACACACTCAAGTTCAGGCCCATGCCTGCTGTTGTGAGCTGTACCCTATTCTTCCACAAGACCACTCCTGGCCCTCAATTCCTCTGACCTGCTACCTGCCTCAGAGCCCAGCCAGGCCACCACACCCACCACGCGCCAGTCTGGTCACCCAAGGAGGGTACCTCCTGCTGGAACACACCACACAGAATCAGTGCAAACGCCTCCTGGCAGAGGAACAGAAAACATCTCTTCTTTCCCTGCGCAGATTTCAGAGGACGAGATAAGAACCGCTGCTTACCTTTATTGCCGCTGCCACCGGGGAGCTCCAGCCCATGGGTCCCTGACGGGTGAGCCCTTGGCCAGCACATACCAGGGTCCCACACTCCACGCAGGCGCCGATGATCAGCTGCCGCCCGTCATCCACCAGCAGGCTGTGGCTCACTCGCAGGGTGTAGAGAAACAAGGGCAGCCGGGCCACCCGCACAGCCTTCAGCCCAAGACACCGTTTCCTCTCCTGCTGGCAGAAGAAGCACACGAATGTGTCCACTTGGTACTGCCGAGACCAGGCGCTGACAGCGTGGTGGGTGCTGCGGGCCTCGTGCTGCAGCCACTGGCCCAGCAGGTCATGGTAGCAGAGCACACAGGTGGCCACCAGGCCAGTGGCGTCGACAGGCCTGGCGCGCGGGGCGGGTGGGTAAACGGTGAGGAAGGGGAAGAAGGGTTCTTTCTCGCCCAAGCGGTTGGAGGGGTTCACATTGAGCTGGAACTCCTTCCCAGGGCCCAGCTCAGCCCCACAGATGTAGCAGACAGATGCCAAGCTGCCCTGGGCCAACGCGGGCGGCTCGGAGACAGCAGGGTCCGAGGCAGGGAAGGCCTGGTGGTACCTGCCCAGGAAACCCTGCACGGAGGTGATGAGCTCCTCGTTCTGGCAAGCCCGGTACAGGGCCCAGACGTCCTCCAGGACGCTGAAGCACTTGGGGCAGCTTCGGACCTCACAGCGCTTGTTGGGGCCCCGGGCGTTGGGGGGACAGGGCAGGAGGCTCAGGAAGGGGAAATGCATGGTGCCCCTGGCATTGCCATTGAGGATCCTCGAGGCCACTGCCCTGGCATCTGGGGTGCAGTCCTCCCCACAGAGGTAGCAGGCCTCTGGCAGGGTCCCAACGGGTGGCGCGCCCTCTTCCCTTGGGAGCCTCCTGCCCTTGGAGGCCATGCCAGGGGCGTGGCTATTCAGAGGTACCACATACAGTCGCTGCAAGACCGGCACGCTGGCCAGCTCAAAGCTCTGCCACTGCTGCATGAGGGAGGAGAAGCAGCAGGGGCACACCAGTGTGCTTCCGCCCTCACTGATGGGCTGAGCCCCCGGTGGCGGGCTGTGCAGCCACAGGAAGGGAAAGAAGGGGGTCTGGGCCAGCTTCTCCTGCTTCTGCACGTGGATCTGGTGCTGTGAGGCCAGGGACAGCGCTGACCCGCAGATGTAGCAGCACAGGCCCTCTGGTGGTGCAGCCCGGCTCTCCGGGGGAGCCCAGGGAAAGCGGCCGCCACCACCGTTTTCCTTCTCTTTGGGGCCACAGGGGCGCGAGAGAGGCTGCTCCTTGCGGTCCTCTTCCTCACTGGTGATGTTGATGTCACTGTCCTCGGACAGGCAGTAGCCCCCGCAGGGCTCGCCCAGCCGCCTGCTCTCAGGAGTCTTGGCAGCCCTGCCTGAAGGGGCTCCTTTCACGCCATCTGCAGGGGCCCCTTGGACCGAAGGGCCTTGCCAAGGGTCCTGAATGCCCCTCAGGACACTGGCCCGGGCCTCAGGGACCCAGTGCCTCCCAGCGCCCTTTCTCCGGCGCCTAATGCCAGCCTTGGGCTCGCCGTCCACGTGGAGCTTCGAGGCAACCCCCTCCTCCTCCACGTCCCCTTGCGCGGGGGTCTTGGAGCCCTGTCCCGGAGGGGGTCCCGGCGCCGGCCTCCACTCCTGGCAGCGGCCCCCACGAGGCCCCGGCCCCGGGGTGGCGCGCGGTGCCGGCGCCCCGTCCTGGCGGGGGGGACTGGCGGCGTCCCGCGAAGCCGGGTCGGGCTCGGAGAGGGGGTCGGTGTCCGACAGCTCCGACAGCTCCGAATCTCGAGGCTCCCCGGCGGCCGCGCGGGGCCCCGGGCCGCTGCCGGCACCGTCGCCGTCGTCGTCGTCGTCGTCGTCGTCCGCGCCGCCCAGCGCGTAGGCCACGTTCCACTCGCGGGGGGCCCCGGCGCCCCCGCGGCGCCCCCCGCCCGCGCCCGCGTCGCACTGGTGGGGCCGCTTCAGCCAGTACATGCGCTTGTCCACCGGCGTGCGGGCGCGCTCGAAGGCGGCCCACTGCTCGCCCAGGAAGCAGCGGCACACGGCGCACACCAGCACGCAGCCGTCGGCCGGGCTCAGCTCGCGCGCGCCGGGCGCCGGCTCCTGCTGCTGCAGGAACGGGAAGAAGGGCTGCGCCGGCGCCCCGGCGCCCGCCGCCGCCGCCGCCGGCTGCTTCACCTGCAGCTTGAGCTCCTTGCCGCGCCCGATGCCGCCGCCGCAGATGAAGCACGACAGCGGCGCGCCTCCGCCGCCGCCGCCGCCGCCCGCCGCCCGCTCGCCCACGGCGGCCATGAG